TTGGATGAACCATTGATGCAGGGTACTTGGTGTCGGGCGGCCGCTTGCGCCACCTAGCTCACGCATGCTCAATTACGGTATTGTTTAGTTTCACTTTTGAAAGGTGACCAAATTTAATCCTTTGGCGCAGGCTTGGCGCAGGCTTGGCGCAGATTACCCATATTTTGGCAAAATGTAGCAGGATGTAGCAGGGTTAGCCCCTTGGCGCAGTTTGCCGCAATTGGCGCAGCAATCGCATCACTGCTTCAGGCAACAAAGTGCATTGTGTAGAGTATCTGAGAAGATGAGTATTTTTTTATTGTAAAGTTTGCTTGGACTTCATCCCTCTCAATAAAAACGGCGACAAATTGCTGCGGTTTGACTAAATGAAACTAACTTTGCCGACATTGTGGCAGCATAAAAACAAATATGACAGGAACTGGAGTCTTCCCAAGTGCACTTTCTAATTCTTACCTGAGCTGTTCCTTCAGAGAGTCATTCTCCAGTGTCAGCCTCTTGACATGCTCTAGCTGCACTTGCAGCTCCGAGTTGTCCTTTATCAGCACCTCCACCTGAAGTCAGAATGAAGACAATACTTGCAAAACAGCACACAGAAAATTGATGTAAAAGTTTCGTTTTAATGGGCAAAGAAATACAGACAAGCAAGGTGTACAAGAGCAAGTACTGAAAGATGAGCCCTTTAATCTTCCGGAAAAAACTCATCCATCGGGTCAATAAAGAAAGGCGTTGCTCAAGTTGAGTAATAATGGCTAAAGGTTAGATGTCCAGTGAAAATGCTGCCATAACGCATTCTAGATTTAGGCAAGTTTGGAGCTTTAGCCTTTACGGGAACAAAGCAAAAAAGAAAATTCCTCCCAATGAAAAATACTAAGAGATGACAGCAAAAGAATGCACCACTAAAAGTCATGCAACAAATTAAGTGTTGTCATACTAGGCGAATATTGCTTTAACAACGAGCCTGATTTATCCAGTTGACATCATTCCTGATTTGAAGGGATCAATTACTAAAGAAAAAGGTATAGAATGCACTGAAAGGTATACCCAAGTGCTCAGAACCTCAAAAGGTTTTGCAAGTTAAAGTACAACTTCAGCAAAAGTCAAATTTGGGGGTTTTACGTGCCAAACCGACAACGGGCATCTGGCTGAGGATTAATCTCGACCACCTGGGGATCCATTGACGTGCATCCGAAAGCTCTGTTACACGGCACCTTTTCCGCAGCACAACTTCAGCAAACTGGAGTCAACTGCAGGCTCAACTATGTGACAAAAACACTACCTATACTGCATTTGCCCAGGGTTACTAACACTCCCAAACAATATTTTTTAAATTTTTTGCCAGGTGATTTTTTATGGTGACAGAAGACTACCCAATCAAAATTTTGCTACAGCGTCGCATATTTTTAATAAAGTAAAAAAAACTGCTCGAAACCGAAACTGGACTAGGGTGGAAGAAGAAATAGAGGAGAAAGTAACCAGAAGTCACTTGGCTGTGCAATATTTTTTTTAATTAACGTATTTGCAGCATTTTAGAAGCCACAAAAAATGGATATCATATTTTCTGTCTATTTTTTAGCACTGAGTGTGCCTTCAATGACCCACGGCTTTGATTATGTTTGGAGGTTGTGTCTAAACCACAGGGAACAGCACGTGACCACGGAGAAGAAAGCGAGCACCGACTCAAACCGGCCGGTTCTCTATTGACGGTTCTCGGGCAGAAAGAAAATGAACTTGTAGCCACAAATTGTGTTCTGGGCAGTTTGGGTCACGTCGTGTACAAATAAATATCTTGGCGAGCTTAAAGGACACATGCAAAGAAAAAAAATGATTTTTTTTTAAACAACTTAGATGGGAAAGGGATATCATAAAACAATTTTACAACAAAGAAAAAAATTTTTAGAGATATATTTACGGTGTTATACAAATTTGTAGTTGGCGCCCGCAGGAGCCGTCGCTGGTCACGTGGTAGGCCTGTGCGCCGCCGCACGCCAAGCATTGTATGACGCCACTTCAATGCATTTCTCCACGCCACCGTCGCACAAGTTCGTCTGCTTCGGGGCGCTGCCGCCGTCATCTGACCAGCGTCACGTCTGCTTGTGCTTTTTCAGGAGTTTCCTTTGGGCTCTAAAAGTTACTTATTCATCTTAGTCTTTTTTGTTATATTTCAAACAAAGATGAATAAGTTACTTTTAGAGGCCATAGGAAGCTTCTGAAAGAGCGCAAGCACCACGTGACAAATATGGGCCCGCCACGTGATAAATAAGGGCCACTTTTCCGCGGCGCCTGCCGGCGCCAACTACAAATTCGTATACAATCAAATGCCTGTGTAACGAAGCGTGTGGGACAGCGATAATTCTTCATTATACACGCCACTTCGTTATACCCGTCGCACACTTTAATGACCCCAATAAAGCAGATAAGCAACGAAATAGCCCATTGTACGGGCTATTTCGTAGTAGAAGCGGTCGTTGTAGCGGCGTTTGACTGTAGCGCCGTATATATAGCTCTAAAAATATTTTTCTTTGTTGTAAAATCGTTTTATGATATCCTTTTTCCATCTAAGCTGTTTAAAAAAAATGTTTTTTTCCTTTGCACGTGTCTTTTAAGGGAAGACAGTACAGAGAAAAAAGGATTTCTGCAAAAAAGTTGATTTTAAAGAATGCCATATTGACATCCATCTACATCCTAGAGAGTATTCAAAAAAAGTTTCACTTGTTTACACAGCATGGTTATTTTTTATAAATTATTTTTGGTCCATTGACGCTAAAGAAAAGGTAGAGGTTAGAGCGCCTTGAACATGTTTTTCTCCGCTCCACTTTTTGGCATGAATTTCAGTTTAGGAAAACTATCTTAAGTGGAATTTAATCGGCAATGCCGCTGTGGCATTGTTTTCTTACTTTGTTGATGTCTTTTATAAATTATGTTTAAGATTTTGTCAACGAGATAAAAGGCAAGAAATTGATTTGATTTTTCAGCACGATGTTAGCATAAAATAATTTACATTTTGGAAACTTTTTACAGCTGCCCTCTTTAGGCATTCCGCTGCATATCTAGTAAAGAAAAAAGTTTGTTATTATCCAAGTTTTCTAAAAATAGCTTTCCTAAACAATATCTGTGTTCCCAATTGAAACCACTAATTTTTATCACAATTCTTGTACACAGATGAAACTTTGCACTGCATTCTGCCTCGCAACCCAGTATGCACTGTAAATTTCACTCATATTAAGCCGAAGCTTCTGAAGTTCACTCTTTTGGGTACTGCCCTCCCTTAAATACCCTGCAGTGTCCGTTTAAAGGGCCACTGAAAAGAAAATTTTTTTTTTTAAACAGCCTAGTTGGGACACTCGTGTCAAAAAATAAATTTTATGTGAAAACGTTTTTTCAGAGTAATGTTGACGGCGCAAGGTGTGATTGAGTTGGTAGTCTCCTCCTCTCCACTTGTTTTCTCTCTTGGCATTTCGAGCGTGTGGAGTAGGGGTGGATCGGCTTGACCGTCACGTTGAGGTGGAGAATTCAGGTGGAAAGAGTATGACCATTCTGAGACGTCATGAACCTAAATCCCGCGCCGTCAATATTGCTGTAAAAATTTTTTGCGTAAAATCTATTTTTTGATTTGAGTCTCCCTCCCAACCAGACTGTTTAAAAAATTTATTTTCTTTTCAGTGGCCCTTTCAGCAGAGATTGCAGCCAAGCATCATGTGTGAGCTAGCATCCATGCCACTTGCTTTCAGGAATGCCTTTCTAGCACAAGCGCTCATCCTGTGGAAGAATGTCTGAAAGCCGAGATCTTGCGCTTGAGCCTTGGCTGCAGTCAAGGCTCAAGGGTAAACGAAACATAGTAGGTGCATGATTGTTTATATGGTCCGTAGGCTTCCACACTCTTTGCAGGTATGGGTTCCCGAAGATAGAAAAGCTTGAGTACAAACTGGACTAGTCCAGTGTAACGGAACGTCAGCAAGGTGCTACCAACCTGCTGTTCCTTCTCCTTGTGGAGGATCTGCAGCTCCTTCTTGTCCCCGGCCAGGGAGCTTACCAGCTCCTCCAGGTCCTTGACCCTCCCCTGCAGGTCCCACGGCTTGCGTTTGCCCGCTGCAGACGGTGCCAGGGCAGCAGAGCTGCCGGAGCCCTTGCTCTTAGGGGCAGAGGGGGCCACGGACATGGTAGACCCTTTGTGCTTGGAGGCCAAGGAACCAAGCGTGGAGGTGGAACCACTGGCCTTGAGGGCTGAAAAAAAGCAACAAGGGTTGCTGTTCAATGTCTTGCAGCTCAAGACACTGTTCACAGCTTTCAGCAATCAACCAATTTAAAAGATGGCTGGTTTAGGCGGTTTCCGTGCGAAGATGCAAGCATCGGCACTCCCTCTATCAAAGAAGCTAGATCCTGCCAACTCCATTGTGCTGCAGTGATTTAGAAAGAGCCCCCAATATCCCTTTGTGCACGTTGTGGCTCATCTTCGGTCCCCAAGTTCGCAAGCACAGAAGGCGATTAATCCCAAGTTACAGCTGTTACAGCAGGTCCTGCATTTCCAGCAATGTTGGTCATGATTAGGTATGTACTAGCATGAAAGGTAACTGACCATTTTTCATTTGAGAAGGAAGCAGGATTCTTTGCAAGCAAAACAATTTGCTGCATGGAAATGCTGCATTCCAGATATCCTTACACACATAGCATTTTTCCTGTTTACAGAGTGGATATTTATTAGTCTGTTAGACGTACAGACATGCATTATCCTATAAATGACATTTGTACTTTATTGCAGTCAACATGCCAGCTCAGAAAAACAGAAAAGGTTATCGCATTGGAATGCCTGCTGCAACTACCCCTGGTGCTACTGCACTAGAGAGCGCTTAAATGCAAGGATACACTTAATTTCTGCGAACGAGACTCTCAACATATGCCAAGCCGATCAGAAATGGTTAGTGATCTTCAAGTATCACAGGTGCAAGCGTGACTTAGCCCACACTTCAATGGTTACAGCAGCAAAGATGTGCACCGACCGGTCCTGGATGCTGCCAATGTCAATGGTGCTGTGCCGACGTCGCAGGTTGACCTCGATCGCCGGAGGCGCTTCTTGAGATCCACGATTTGTTTTGCCGCAGTGGCGGCTGAGGTGGGAGCAGCAGCCCTCTGTCGTTTTGGGTGGTGGTCCTAAAAGGAAATATCTTATATATTCGCCCATCTTTCCTGGCATCACTCTGCTACAGTTGAGAATGCTACAGTTGTGTGTTACAGATTTAAAACAGCACGACGAGCCCTTCCCACAAAGCTCGCTGTGCGCCATCATTGGTGGTTTTCTCCTACCCAGAACTTGCTCTGCTAAAGTGGAATGAGTCGAGGGCTTTGTGGAAGAAGCTTGTCCCAGATTATTCCAAACCTTGAAAAACATTGTAGAGTGGTGATAAAAGTAAGCCCCTTCCAGCAAACATAAAAAAAAAAATGCATGTTTAATTATGTTGACAAAAATCTGTAAGCACAGAACGTGTGATGGCCTTACAATTATTGGCGATAGTCTGCGGGGTGTGGCTCCTTGTAAAGGCTCTTTCTGCTGCTTCTGCCACTTCTTACATTCTCGGCAAGCTCACCTCTTTTCTTCCACCATGGCTTCACAGCCCTGGCCATGATAGAAGAGAGGCGTCTGAATGGCACTGCCATGCTACAAAGCAGGTGTTGTATTGAAGATCCGCTCCCATTTCTGACAAACACCATGAGATGGTGCAGGATAACACTGCCCACGCACCTTCAAGGCCGCGAGGAGCACAGACTTCGAATGTTGCACGAAAAGTCCTCTCTTCGTGTTGAGAGCAAACGCTGTCCCTCACTAGCTCAGTCGGTAAAGCACTTGGCTCACAATCAAAGTGGAAAGTTGAAATCCTGCCGGGGGGCTGAAGTCTTTATATGGTTCCCTATGAACACAACGCTTTCGGTTTTTTGTAACCGCCAAACGTTACAGATCACCGTGAAAACTGGCTGATAGAACACACCGTTTTAAAGTCGAATTTGGGGGCTTTACACGGCAAACCAACGAAGGGCATTTGACATGCCCAAGTGGAGTACCGAGAATTAACTACAACCATCTGGGGCTCTTGATTATTCGTGAAAGGTGAAATCCCAGTTACACAGTGCCTTCTCCACAACAGGCCTCCATCAGATTGTGGAACCCGCCACCAGCTTATTCATAGGCTGGCACCTGGCCTAGGAGCCATCAAGACAGCTCATATTCCACCAACACCTATACGAGTGGCGTATAATGGAGACTGGATTGTTTCTAACAGTCCTTCTCAAAATGATCAAATCAGCCATTCGCTTTAATTGGCATTTTAAGCAACTAGACACTTTTTGAGCAGGGCCGATGTTTAGTGAAGGCAGAACCCAGAGAGCAAGTTGATCCAAGATGACTAGACTGCCCTCTAAGATTTTTCAACAAACGGCACCGTCTTACCAGGTTCTCCTTGAGGCTTTCCGAACGCTTCAGGATAGGATTGCCCAGACGATTGGTGGGGGTTGGTGCCCTCAAAGTCCTTTTCGGGACTGCTCCAGAGAGGGGCTGAAACAGGCAGGGGGAACAAGGATGCTGGAAGTTAATTTCAATACACAGCTTGCAATGATGTCACATCAGCCATCATTGCTTCATAACATGTTCCTGTGCACGTACCTTCTGCAGCACACATTTCACACTGTTAATATTTTTCTTCCCGTCAAGGCTTGCCGAGAAGAACACATTTCATGCCAAATATTTGCTACAGAAGGTATGGGCACAGGAGCACGGTATGGACACATGGCGGCTGGTTCGATGCCACAAGGCGTCACGTGAGAGGCATGTATAGTCTAGCCATCCTAGCATAAGCATAAAACAGCTGATCCTTGCATCAGCACAAATGTCAGTGTTGGGTAATGTACTTCTAAAAAGTACTCGAAGTAAAGTACAAGACAAATTAGAGGTTATGTACTTGAAGTAAAGTAACAAGTACACCGGGTCCAAAGCACTTGAAGGAAACTACTGTAAATACAATGTACTTTCAAAGTACAAGTAAATGGCGGCAAATATTAAAGTCGTGGCTTCAGAGTTGGCAAAGCATCCTGATACGAAGTTTTCAGTCGCTCGTTTTCAAGCGCCTTTCGGCGTCCAAGCTTTTCGGAGGCCGCGTTTGCCCTTGGAAACTACTCATTGTGAGGTACTACATACACCACACACTTCGCTGCTGCGCTTCCGTGAAGTTGTTTGCAGCACCATTTTATTACAGGTAAGGTCTCTCTGCACGCACACGGCTGCAACATGGCTCCGGTGTCAGCCAACACCTACAAGCTCTGAAAACCAACCGAAGTTACAAGGAGGGAGCCTTCGTTATTAGGTGTACAGTACTTGCTGCTACTACCAGCCGAAAGACAGACTACAATTCCATAACCGCAGGTGACCGCCCACCAACAATCACAGAACGTAGTAGCTCAAGGGAACGTCAACAAGGTTACAAAGCAACTTAAAAAGCAGCTATTGAGCGCAGGGAAAAAAAATTACAGTACTTACTTTGCTCTGGGTGCTTGGAGTAGTCCCCAGCGGACCGCTCGAGCTCCCAGCTACAAGTTGAAACACGACAGGGTGAGTTGCGCCCGGCAAATACAAGCGCCGTCATTTTGTAGCAGTTCCAGGACGAGGTTTGAAACGAAGTTTCGTCAACTTTTCTCGCGCGAACGTATGAGACGCTTGGGAAAATGCTAAAAGTCAAAACCAGGAAAGCGAGGGGCGTGAGTCTCGAAGAAAAATTATGACATATTTCGGGGCATTTGAAGCCGCAGTACTTACACGCACTCATCCTGCTGAGGACGCAGTGGAGGGAAGTGGCCACGGCGTACAGGGACACCTACAAGGCACACGGCACGACTGATACTAAACCGACTAAACCGACTAAACCAACTAAACTGACTAAACGACTGAACCGAGGTACCCGTTCCCGTGCACTGGAGAATGCCGCACGCCGCCTTTAGGAACAACGGCGAAATTGTTTGAATATGCGGACAAACCTTATGAGAGTTTGGATTGGTCGAGCGGTTTCGAGCTTGGGTTTCGAGAGTATGACTGAACCTATCTGCTTCTTGTTTTGTTTTTCGAGTACAAATTGTTAACAAATAACTTAACTAATATAAGAATTATTTTATACAATGTTTATTACGTTATGATTAATTTACTTAGCTCTGATCATTGCATTAATTTTAAAATAAAACTGGTGAGGCTGCTGAGCATAGAGTATTTGTAACCGGACTTCCGGTTACAAATTGAAGCAGACAGCATGCCCAGCATGCAGTCTACTTTTTCTGTCTTCCTGTGTATTCCTATGGGAAAACGCGCGTGAATTTTGTTTCGTTGCCGGAAAATAACATTAATAACTTTTGTTATTTCGGTTGTACCGGGTAGTATGTACCTTTATTAATATTGTGAAAGAGTAATTGCTTTAGTTACAGCATTTTTTCCTTTACCACTGAACGATGCTAAACTTCGCTATATTTCAGGCCCAAACCTCTGTTCCATGGCAGGTATGTAGAAACGAGCGACGATTCTAAGCAAAATAACGATCGAAAAGAATGTAGAGTGGGTTCAAAGTTCGCCAGCATTCCGCTGGTGCTTATCTCTACGAGCGGTTAAAAAAAACGTTCGAAACGTAAATAATAAAGTACGTAGGCTACGAAAGTACGTGTGTTTTCTTATTATTTCCTATGTTGGGCAGTTTTTATCGCGCACCTGTCCTCTGGCTTCTCCCTATTTGCAATGATTTGGAGCGAGCCGATGATGATTTGAACACAGAACAAGCATCTTCGCACATATTCATGAGCAGAAAGGATAAAGCAGTACTTATTTATAGCAAGTCGTACTATATTACGTGACTTTCAACTTATTTTGATCGTCTGCAAGCACAAGGAGTTACTTAACCAGTGTTACTGCGTAATTCTTGCCGTCTCTCTTGGTGTTCCACATGTCGTTCGTTCGTCTGGCACGTATATCCCCCGTGATGGAAAGCGTCGACGCCGTGTTCGCGCTAACAGTGTCCGACAGTGCACATAAATACACGTACGAAGCGGTTTTAACACCGTTTTTAATGCCGCGAATTTCAAATAAAAATGCTGTAACTGACCAATTATTTCGTCTGCGTGACTGAGAAATGTTCCAATGTGTCTAGTGTGTACAAATTATTCATGATATTTGCTCTTATGATCGAGCGCAGAGAGAAAATGCACTCGCTTTTTCCCATAGAAATGCATTACCAGAAGTCAATTTCTGACTGCATGCTGTCTGCTTCAATTTGCAACAGCACACTAGCGCCAGCTGAGCCTCTAGCGTTTATTGTAATAACTCCATAGAGATCATACTAGACCTGTGCGCCGCCGCGCCGCGCCGCCGCCGCCGCCGCCGCCTGTTTTGCTCTCGCCGCCCTGCGCCGCCGCCGGAATCCCCAGAGCCAGCACGCCGCCGCCGCCGCCGCACAATAAATCCGGCGCGCCGCCGGCGCCGCCATCTTTTTTTTTTTTTTTTTAGGGGGGGGGGGGGGGGGGGGGGGATATTGGTGTTTTGTTTTTCTGCTTCTGTATGAGTTTTATTTACTATATTATGCATAAAAAATGAATAGATACATTGGTGCCTGTGTGCCCTTTTCCCTTTCATTTTTACTCCTGTAAACATATCAATAAATGTAGAAGTTCCATAAAAAACGGAGACACGGAACGATAAAAAAAACGGACAAAACAATAAGTCTCAAACGCCGTTTGTAGTTTATTTGAACAACGAACGTTGTTACATATACCTCAAAACCCTCACCACCAAAAACGAAACACCTCCTCTTCACTAGGTTACCGAGAGCCGGACACTCAGACAGAACCCATATGATTCATGATCCAGACGTAGTTAAATGATTCACACCAACCAGCCACCCTGATGACCTCGCTTGAGGGCTGACCAGCCACATGCGATAACAGGCAACTACAGCTCCAGCACAGCCCTTACACTTCTTAGAAAACCCACAAAACAAGACCTTATAGAGACACAAAAAACTCTTCATATCACTGTCCAATGTCAAGGACGGTGTGCTTACACAATTACCAGAGGTCAAAATACGCATGGTCTCCCTCAGAACTCTCCAACCATTGCTGATTGTTGGGCGAGTTGGTATTGTGCGTGAGAAAACATGATTGCGCTTTAAGACATAGACAGAGGAAGAACATCACAGAGCGCCTACTTTGAACTGATTTAATCCTAGAGCCTCAGCGTAGATACCCACTGCGTCACCGCACCACATCTCAACCAATCCGTGGCCCCGCCGCGGACCGGAAGTACACTATCTCTTTTTCTGCAAAGTCAATTGAAATCACGCATGATTGCAGGTGCAAACCATTATTTGCTTCTTCAACTGTTCTCGCTAGGCACAATGATAAGACTGTTAGAGAGATAATTGAGGCGGACGCCATTAATAGTTCCGGCACGTGTTGTATACGTGTTTTTTTCTGGCACCCCTGAGGACCACCCGAAAAGGAGGTTAACCTTTCTAATTCGTGCTGAGCTTTGAAAACTAAATTCACACTGAACCTCTCTGCCACTGATATAAAGTTATGAGAGATTCCAAGGTAGTAAGGCACACACACAACATTCTTTACAACCGTTTTTTTCCATAGGAGCCGGATTAAATGTACGTTCTTGATACCTTGAGCACAACTGTAACAATCCCATCCTGGTGCAATTGTTAAGATCGTTGTGAACGAAAATTGAGCTTGGCAGAAGGTGTTGTCGGTTTTTATCTCGAAATGCCTGAGTGGAGCAACAGTCCAATGTCACTCAAAAACTATGAGCAATTGATTGAAATATTGAATCCGCATCATGGGAGAAAGTGCGATGTGACAACTGTAGACATCAATTAAGGACTTATGTTACTCTATGCATGAGTCGGAGCTGTTAAAAGGGTCAAGGGGTGGTGTGATGATAATCTAGTGAAGTTGCAGTCTGCCACTGGTATTGTTGTAGATAGTTTTATCAGCATTCTGGAGTTTCATTTAGAGTCCACTGCCGTAGACTTTGATGGTTCTCTTTTTATTCCAAAAACAGGGTCGTGAATTGCTCCAGTGTTGTCCGAGATTTTTTTAGAGCGCAGCTCTTATGGTACGTTTACACCTGGAAAGAAATCCGCTGCCGCGGGAGCGGATCCGCTCCCGGCGGCGGCGGCGACGAGCTGGTTGTGTTTACATCTATTTCCTTCGAGCAGTGGCGGCAGCGCCGGCTGCGGCAGCGGTTCCCGTAACGTCTCGTCAAATATGACGAGAAGGCGCGAGAGTTCCCGCCTCGGCTCTCTCTCTCCCGGGCGTTGCTGTTCCCGGAAGAACGCGTACTCGTGACGTAGGCAGCGTCGCGCTGCGCAAGAATGTCACATCCAGTCAGCGAAACGCCTCGTTCGGCGGCAGAAATAGATCCCGGACCTAAACGGCTCGCCGCCGCGTTTTCCGCCGAGCGTTTCGCCCCAGCGGCAAAAGCTGGGCGGATCCGCTGGCGGATCCGCAAGTGTAAACGTACCATTATAATAATAATAGCTTTATTTCCATTACAGGTAATGGCGGAGCCGAGAAAAAAAGCCGCACTAGGCGGCTTGACGAGCTCTCGGCCCGTTTCCGGCTTGAGCGGCGTCGGCGTCGCCGTCAGCGTAACCAAGGTCACCCCAAGGTCACGTGACCCCCAGGACACGTGACCCCCCAAGGTCACCACAAGGTCACGTGACCGGGGAGGTCACGTGACCCCGTAGGTCACGTGACCCCGTAGGTCACGTGACCCCAAGGTCTCGTGACCCCCAAGGTCTCGTGATCTCTCCCAAGGTCACGTGGCCCCCAAGGTCACGTGACCCCCCCAGGGCACGTGACCCCCGAGATCACGTGGCCCCCCAGGTAACGTGGCCCCCCTCCCCGAGGTCACGTGACCCCCTCCCCCCGAGGTCAGGTGACCCCCCCGGAGCATATTAAAGGGTAACTGCAAAGAAAAAAAAGTTTTTTTTTAAACAGCCTAATTGAGACAAGCATGTCACAAAACAAATGTTCCGCGAAAAAAAATTATTTTTTTATCAATATTTACGCCACAGGACGTAATTTAGTAGAGTCAGAACCTCTCCACATTTGAAACTCCCGCTCTTTCGACCCCCGCGGAAGAGGAGTACGCCCCGCCCCTCACTCTCCTTGCGTTGCGGACGTTGCGGAGTTGAACGACGCAGCGTCTCGACTTCCGGCAAGATCTGGCAACTACGCCAGGCCGCGGTATTGTGGTATTGTTTTGGTTTGACGCGGTTTGCGAGCACATGTAGCGAAGACGTGACCGGAGAAGTGACCGTGTGATGTTCCCGGAAGACGGAAAGTATCGTTCGTATCGTCGTGTGCGCTTTGAAAGCGAAGGGAGTCGCAGAATCCACGAGTGCGCAACCACAAGCCAAGGTTCACGACAGCGCTGCGTTGGTTTCGGCGATCTCGTTCTGTTTGGTGCAATACGGCGATGCGACAGAGCTGAAACGTTCGTGGTGTGTGTAATGCGGTGCTAACACGGAGCGCAAATTGGTTGTTGTGGGGTTGACG